CTTGTGCAGAATGTGGTGTTCTGGGCCCGGGAAATGCATCCACCGCTGCAGCAGGCATTACTGTGGCCACCTCAGGCCCTATAGGCACCTGCATTGTAGCAGATTGGCATCCATATAGGGACTCCCTGGTCTGCCTGAGCAATCTCGGCTAAGACTGTGGCCACCATCTTGCTGCTCCCTGCAGGCTCTGCTAGTCTGGGCATCCACAGTCATTGCTTGTACAGCCAGCGGCCATCATGGAGAGGGGCACAGGCACTGCAGCCACATTCTAAGGTGCAAGGGCCACTGGAACCATGATGTGCACCCTCATTTAACCCTTGGCGCTGGTTTGTAAGTACCTGTGTGAGTTCCCTCTACCTATTGCTTCTATTCTTTGCCATCTTCCCTTCCAGGAGGTGACGAGAGCCGCCATGTTTATTGGCAGATTACAGCAGCTGACTCTTCATTGTCTCCCCCTGTGACTTGCAGGCATAGCGGTCAGTTCGGTACCATCAATAACTTCCGCCTGGGCCGTCTTCCCAGTGTCCCCGTGGAGTGGAATGAGATCAATGCAGCTTGGGGACAGACGGTTCTGCTCTTACATTCCCTCGCCAACAAGATGGGGCTCGAGTTCCAGAGGTGAGACCGGAAACAAATGCTTTGCGTATTACCCGACTTAATGAGCTATTGTCTGGCGCTACTCTAGACTCTTAGGAATCTTTAAGCCGGCCGTATAACATACCACCCAGAGTGACCTCCGCTCGGGGGAGAGACACTGATCCCTACAAATGGAGGCATCTCATCTTTCTATACATTGCTAGTTACCCCTGGGGAGGAATGGAAACTTCCTGCCATGGAATGGTGGCAAAAGGAATTGGGATTTACCTTATGGGCTAGGCAGTGGCATCAAACCATAGTGTGGCCCCTGAAGGCTTCAAGTTACCTGTCGCACTGGGAATCTGTCCAGAAGATACTCCAGCAATGGCACTATACTCCGCACCAACTAGCCCAGATCTTCCCATCTACCTCTCCCTGGAGACAGTGTGGTCAGCGGGGTACACGTCCTCCTATTTGGTGGCAGTGCCCTTTGCTCCCACAATACCGGCTCTCTGAGGTTACTCTCATTCCTTGCAGGGCCAACCCGCAAATGACCTTGCTGGGAGTGGGGCCCCCTGACTGGCCCCTTCCCTCTCGTGTCTTTGTGACACATTTATTGCAGCCAGACTGGCCAGAGCCCGACGTGAAATCTGGTGATTGACATTATTAATACCTGCGCCCATATTGAGCACCTCTTAGCTGAAGCACACCTTACGGAACGCATGTTTCCTGGAAAGTGGGAGTGTTGGATGCGAGATGGTCGGTGCACCACAACTCTTTTGCCAAATTGAGCGGTGTTGGGATCTTGCTTAAGCTTCTCTATGTACCCCAATCGTATACCCTCTTATAGCCCCCCAGTGTATACCCTCTTATAGCCCCCCAGTGTATACCCTCTTATAGCCCCCCAGTGTATACCCTCTTATAGCCCCCCCAGTGTATACCCTCTTATAGCCCCCCAGTGTATACCCTCTTATAGCCCCCCCAGTGTATACCCTCTTATAGCCCCCCAGTGTATACCCTCTTATAGCCCCCCAGTGTATACCCTCTTATAGCCCCCCAGTGTATACCCTCTTATAGCCCCCCAGTGTATACCCTCTTATAGCCCCCC